AAATACACCCAAATTTTCCTGGAGAAATCATCAATAAAGGTAACGAAATACTGAGATCCTCCCAATGACAACTCCCTAGTAGGGCCCCATACATCAGAATGCACATAATCAAGAATTCCTTCAGTTTTGTGCTTTCCAGTCATAAAACTGACTCTAGTCTGTTTTCCAAGAATACAGAACTTACAAAGATCAAGCTTGCAGCTTTTAACCCCATGCAGCAGATTTCTTCTATGCAATTCTGTCATCCCACGCTTACTGAGATGACCCAGATGCATATGTCATAGCTTTGTACTGTCTTTATCTGATTCTACAGAATGAACTCCACCAATAACTATACTCCCCAACAATTTGTAGAAATTGTCTGTAGTTAACTTTCCTTTCATCACCGTCAGTGCACCCTTAACAATTCTGATGGTTTCCCTATCCTCATCTGCATTAGGAATGAAACCATTTCTATGTAAAGTGCCCTAGGAAATCAAATTCTTCTTCAGATCTGGAATATGTCTAACATCACATAACATTCTTACTGTGTCATCATACATCTTAATCCTGATTTCTCCAATTCCAATAATATTGTAGCATCTATCATCACCTAGATAAACTGAGCCAGAATTAGTTGACCTGTATGAAGTAAACCACTCCTTGTTAGGTGTTATGTGATAAGAGCACCCTGAATCAAGAATCCATGCATCCATGAACTGAGTTGATGAAACTGAGAGCATATCGCAATCACTGCAATCTGAATTTTCGCTCTGCACCACATTTACAGACTTTGATGAAGTATCACATTTCTCCCAGTCTGCTTCTTCAGCTTTGGACAATCTCGCTTCATATTACCTGGCTCCTTGCACTTGTAGCAATGAATTTCCTTTTTGCCTCTAGACTTTGATCTGGAATTTCACCTTCCCGAACTCTCATTCTCTTTCTTCCTTCCACGATCCTGCTTACTCTTCACATATAAACTGTCACCGTGAGAGCTTCCCCCTGCATTCTGCTTCCGCTGGTTGTGAGCCAACAACGCTGCAGTAATCTCATCAACTTTGATAGTCTCTTTCCCATATGTCAGAATAGTCACCAGGTGTTCATAGGAAGAGGGCAATGAACACAACAAAATCATCGCTCGATATTCATCCTCAATACTCACATCAAGCCGTGACAGGTCTGTGATTAGTTGATTGAAGCAATTAACATGCTGCGCCCGATCATAACCTTCCTGCATCTTCAGCCCATACAACTTTTGCTTCAGATACAACTTATTCGTCAGAGATTTTGCCATAAACTGAGTTTTCAATTTCTTCCAACCTTCTCCTGGAGATTTCAGATTCATCACGTGATACATAACCTCATCTGTCAGGCATAGACGTATCGTCGCTGCTGCTCGTTGTTGCAATTCTTCCCAATCTTCATCCTCCATGGCATCTAGTTTAGTCTCCCTCAAAGCTTTCAAGATTCCCTGTTGAGCCAACAGATCTTTCACCATGGTTTGCCATAATCCGAAGTTACCAGTTCCGTCGAACTTTACCACCTCGAATTTTGCACCAGAAAAAGCTATTTGAAAATTGATCCTGCAACAAAATTTTTTGCAAAAAATTCCTCTGCAAAAATCTTTAAAACTCTTTTGTTTTAAAAAAATTAATAAAATAAAATATTAAAATATTTCCTTTCTCCAAGCAAATTTGAAAGTATCCCTTCCAAATCCGAACTTCAGCAAAGAGAAATTTTTAATTAAGTTTTCTTAATTAAATATTTTCTTTAAATCAACTTAATTAAGATAAATTTTTCTTTAATTAAGTTGAAATCAATAACTTTACTTTGCCCAGAATATTCTCCAAATAATTAATTTCCTAGCAGCAAAAGAAATTAATTTTCCCTGTTTTGACGGAAAATATTCTCAAATATTGCTTTGATTTTTCCTTCCTTTCCGCCGCAAGGCAAAAGAAAAGAAAAATTGTAACTTTTCTTTCTCCTCCAGCAATATTTGCCTTTCCCAAAAATCGGAACCCACGAAAAAAATGGAAAATCCAAGATTCTCCTTCCCTTCCAATTTCGTTTCTTTCTCCGTATTCCTGCGTCCACTTGCCGTCGCCGGCGAATTTGGCTCTGCGACAGCCCTTTATCCGTGATTCGCGAAATTCCCGTGTCGCGAACCTACTGCCACGAAGAAGCCTCCGCCTTTGCTACAGAAGAGGCAATAATGCACGCGAACTCCTCTAACCGCGAACGCCTGCGAACCGTGCTGAGAATCTCGATGTCCTCCGCGCACTGAGG